ATTCATGGCGCGAGGTGGGGCGTTTGTAGCTCAGTGGTTAGAGCGTTGGCTTACGGTAAAGGCCTTCTCTACTACGCGGGTTCAAATCCCGCCGAACGTCTCGAGTTTTTCACAATTGGGTCAACTCAGACTTCCTGGTCGTGATCGATTGCCTTCTCGGAAAAGCCCACGGTCCGTGCTACTTATGAGTACAATGCGCGGGTTATTACATGGTCAACCGTTTATATAATTTAAAAGACATTATTTAATGCAATTAAAACGAAGTACTGGCAACAAAATGTGGACAGAGGTCATACATACCCACATTACACGGTATAAATTAAACATGGAAACAAACGCCTCATAATCATTGTCTTCGGAAAGGTTGTTCTAGAAAGCAGAAGATATTGACCATGGAGGGCAAACTTGGACCCGGAGAAAGTACTTGAAGTTACAGTCAAATCCAAAGCATTAACGGAAAATGAAGGCATTATTATACTACCCGTGCTAAGCGAGTGTTCATGTATTATTACTATTTCAGCTAAACAACAGCTGCTAGCTTTCGGCCTGCAAGCATGCAGTTGAAGTATTGTTTTCCATTTTTCTTTTTTATCCATACATTTCCTAGCCATTTTTGTTACCAATGAGGAACTTAAAGGCGTTCGCCTATCTTTCCCTCATCAAAACTGATACTGAAACTAGTTGTTGAATTAGCAGTAAGCGAGCCATAATTTCAATCAGTGCATACTGACTTACATTCACGAAAACCGGCAACAAAACCGGCTTTTTTGACCTTGGTTTTGGGCGGAGGCACGACCTCCGGAAACTTGAAGAAGGTGCGAACGGGTTTGTAGCGCAGAAGCAGCGCCTGTAGGATTGAGATGGTATTGCTGATCGACCAATACCAAACGAGCGCCTAGTTACCAAGAGATATAAAGGGAGGGCGTGACGAAATGCATGCATACGAAGGCATAACGGGCTGTTGTGAGAATACTTATCCTTGTTGATAGAAGTGGGAACAGGGAGCTCCAAGAACCAGTTCAAAAGATGGTACGATCGCTGGAACATGGCGTTTATTGGCCTGGGGTTTAGGATTTTCGCTCAAACCCATCATCAGAGACTGTAATCTGGGACTGCCGCTGATGGTGGATTCGGGCGAGAATCCTGAACACCAGGCCAATAAACGCCATGTTCCAGCGTTCGTACCATCTTCACTAATCTGATCTATTAAAGAGTCAAAACTGCAGTAGAGACATGAGTGAAGGGAATGGGCATTGAGGAAATAACTTCTACATCAGTCAGTGGAAGCCTCTCGGTAAGTAAGGGAGTCGGAAAGGGCGACAGACAAAATCCAATGAAGGATAAAAGACACAGGGGAAAATGAGTACAAGGTTAACGAGATGAGTACACCAATTTGAAGTACGTTTACAAATTGAAGGCAGACAGATAAGGGAACATGGAATCGGAAATACGCCCATACGCATGCATATGGAACAAATATATCGATGAGTAAGGGCGAGTAGAAAGAGCTATATACCCATAAAACTAAATGTTTCCAGTTATTCTCCCCAATAGTCTTTGTGGGACCTTAATTGGACCGCTTTGAAAACCATAAAATATGAAAAACGGCTTTTCTGACAATTAACTGGGAACATCGAAACGAGCAAACTATTCCGTGGCGTTTTGGGGGGTCTAAGAGACTCAATTCCCCTTCCCCTCCTCCACAGCCCAAAAAGCAGAACAGTGCTCACACGAAAGAAGATTGTTTATATGCGTATGATCGTGTCTGCCCTAAAACGATCCACGCAGTAAATGCGGTGGCCGCTAACAAGGCCGCCAAATCAGGGCGTGGAAGGCGATATTGGGAATGCGCAAACATGTGTTCTTTTCTGCCTCTAGTCGTCATGATTTGGTCCAAGTGTGCGAGATGTTCGATCCTGCCTCCAGGCTTCTTGAAGCTGTCATGAAACCGGACCCAGGTGGATGAGGAGAGTGAGAGTGCAACACATGCAGCGAAAGTCTACATTCCCTAGAAACTAGTTTACACGCAAGGCACCGTCCCTGTATCTAGTTTGCTATGCAGCAAAAAGTAGACATCGTTTGCATCGACAGCCGAATCAACTTTTAAAATTTTTTTTAAGTTTGTAGTCGGTAACCGACTTACGTAAAATATGTGATCTTCAAACACGTTTTACCTAGGTCTTTTTGCAGTTGGCTTCACCTTGAACTGCCAGACTTTGGTTTTACAAGCTATTCTCGAAGTTACTGTTTTAATTAGCAACGGCAAGAATAAATAATTAATACCTCCAATGCATTTTTACCCTTTAACTATACGGATAATTATTTTTCGTTTTATGTTTTCGCAATGGATACAAAAAACAGTTTATGAATTGGTCCTGGTTTGTTGCGAATCTTGATAGGTAGCCAGCGTGAAGGCGCACACTGTAGCTGGCTCACACCGAAGTCCATACAATTGGTTTGCGCACATTTCCCCGTAAATAGACGTCCAGGCTGCGCCGACAAGAACCGGCTAGCGAAGCATCGGTCCAACAATGCTACACACACACACGTGCGTTTGATCACAAAGTATGGTGTGCATGCGCACCAGCGTGCATTCTCTCGAAAGTGTCGGTAGGGGCATGGCTATCTTAGGAGGCCCGAAAAGGCCCCCCTGATTTTTTTTCATTCAGTCCTCATGATTACTCAGCTGGTTGTTGTTTTGTGACCTGATGATTTCTTGCTAACAACATCGGTCAAAAGAATCAAGCTAACCAACCCAACTCTGTGCTCGCAGAAGGCGTCTGTACGGGCTCTATGGCCCTCTTAGTTAAAGACGAGCTCAGCATATATGTTCATGCCTTCTTCCACGTCACGCTACACTGACGAAGCAGAAAAGCAGCTAATTGTCGGATACCTCCTCCCTTGACATGACTAAAACATAACCCCTGAACGCCTCTATTCCTCACCTTCATACTTACTGGTTAAAACGAGGATACTTGCCTTTGAGGCATCCGGTCAGTCAAAGCTGGAAATTGTGCGTGAAAATGGCGTATGCGCGTGGTTTCTGAGGTTAAG